GGGTGAGTGGCAGGAGGCGGCTGAGGTGGAGGCCGGGCTGGTGGGGCAGCCCCTTCCAGGCTGAGTCCAGGGGCTCCGGGACTCGGTGCCACGTTTGGACTAAGTTAAAGGACAGCAAGATGCGGTCCCACACAGCCTGAGGAGCCCTCCAAGGGCACGGGGCCCTTCGGCAGGCAAGTGGACAGGTCTGCTGCAGGCAGAGCGTGAGCAGTGACACGGCTCTCTGCAAGGTTCAAAGGTCACTCCTGGGAGGTCCCTGTGGTGACACCTGAGGCTGTGGGGTGACGCCCAGCGGGTTTCAGGTGACCCCCCCTTGTCTACCCTCTCAGCTCTGCATTCGGGGAGGTGCTTGCAGTGCAGCAGACTGACACAGGAGCTAACCCGAGCCATGGAAGGTGCCCTCCTGAGTGACAGCGTCCCCCAAACACTGTGACACAGTCACTGGGTATCAGTGGTCACAATGGAGGCGAGGGACCAGGGGTTCTCCAAAGCCCCTACCCCTCTGAGTCACGTGGTCAATACCTGCTGGGCTCTGGGCTGCGGAGGGGGTGGAGGATGAGCCCCCCGAGTCACCGTGGCTGGTGTTCCCGCTGCCGCTGGGGCTCCCGCTGGCAGATGGTGGTGACGGCGATGACAGGGATGGCGAGCTGTGCTGGTTTATGCACTGGGCCACGGCGAAGCCTGCAAGACAACAGACGCCGTCAAGCGGGAGAAAACCGGAAGGCCAGCGGGAGGTCTTAGATGTCAAGGCGACTGGACCCCATCCCAGTGCCCAGAAGGCCTGGGCCTGTTCTCCAGAATGAGCTGACTGGTCAGGGGCCGACCTGGACACACGTGAAGCTGTGTCCTGGGAGAGATGGGGGCAGCCCTTGAGCCCGGGCAGGGTTGGGAGCTGTCCATCTGTGCCTGGGGTTGGCCCAGCAGCCTGTGGGCTCTGCCCTTGAAGGGGATGTGCAGCCACAGGCTCCTGGGACAGAGTTCACACAGTCGCGGGGCGTCGGGGGCCTCAGGGGACACCCCCTACTCTGCTAAAGGGACGGCGCCGGATGCCAACTGGGAAGTCACCCTGGGCTGGAGGGAGCCTGGAGTCTTCCTGCCAGCGATGTGCTTGGCCCTGGCCTCCAGGGAGGTGGGACCTGGCGCTTCTGTGATCTGTGGCCACTAGCACATGGAGGGGACAAGCTCTATGTCTCAGAAACACTTGGACCTAGACAGCGGCACCTGCTGCCCCACTGGAAGTACGGGCCTGCAGTGGCCATGTTTCTCTCGTCTATTTCCCAGCAACGGGCTGAGGACAGTCGTCCACCCTCAGGACCCCACTGCTGGGGGAACAGCAGATGGACAGACCTCAGTCCCTCGACCCAGCCCGGCTGCCCCTTCCAGGACACGAGCCGTCCTGCAGCCGCAGTGCCTGCCCTTTCAGCACTCTGCCTTTCCAAAGGCCCCGACGGACGGCGTGGCTCCCCTTCAGCCCTCGGGAGCTGGGCAGGCCTCCCGTGCTCTGCACCAACGACACGTACCAGGTCGGGATGGGGTTGGGGCAGGCCCTCCCATTGGAGCAGAGCGAGGACACTGAAGACCCTGGCCATTCTGCATGCCTCGCCACCGTCCGAGTGGACACCTGCACTGTAGCCAGCCCCAGACCTCTCCACGCCCTCTGCCCTGCTGAGCCGCTCAGGTCCAGCCCTGGCTAACACGTCTTCGGGAAGGCCCTCGGTGCCCGGGTCTCCCTTTGGCAGAACCCAGGAACGCAGCCTGCAGCCCTGGGACCTGGTCTACGGGCAGTCGGGCTGCTCTCGCCTGGTGGCAGGGCTGAGGGGTTGCCATGGCGACCGCAAAACCTTCAACGTTTCACCACTCGGCTCCAGAGAGAAGCAGGGTGCTGACCTGGTGCAGAGGACGGCGCGCAGGCTGCGGCCCCAGGGCAGCCTGGTTTCACTGTCCGTCCACCGGCAGCCACGGCCCCAGGCAGCCCTCTCACCTAACTCATCTGCTCCCGAAGCAAACTGCAGGGACCACCACTCAGATGAGGCCTGGCAGGCAGCTCTACGCACGGAGGGGACCGTGCTCAGGACCAAGAGCCTGCCCTGTCCACTGCAGGGCTCTGCTTATGGGGAACTGTGGGATCCGTGTCCAGGGGGCGTATGTGACTGACAGATGCTTGTGGGGGGGAGCCCTTGGGGGGGAACCAGGGCAAACATCCGGCGATCCACACACCGGCCAGGGAAATTCCTTGGGGACAGCCAGCCGCAGCCTCAAGAAGGAGTTTTATTGCCGCTCACTTCTTAATCACTTAAAGTGGTAAACCCTCCAGTTTACAAGCTGTTTACTTGCCTCGAAAATGAATTACCCCTGAACAAATCAAAGCGTCAGGCGGCTTCCCCAGGCTGCCTCTCCATCAGAGGCACCATCACAGGGCCAGGGGGGCCCGGAGATGGGATGGAGCCTGTAAGCCCCTGACGCCGACGACGAGCCCGGCCCCCGTGGACGAAGATGCGGCTGTGACCCAGGTGGCCAGGCCCCTTTCTCTGAAGACACAAGTCTTCCCTGTGGCTCTCTGTGGGACCCGGGTGGCTGAGGATGTGGCTCATGGTAAAGCACCTGCCTCGCAGCCAGCAGACCCTGGGTTTGTCCCGGAGCCACAAGGAAAAAAACAGAAAAGACAAAAAACGAAAGTCCTCTCACTGGGGGGATGGGTTGGGGGTCGAGCAGAGACTGGCAGTAAGATCTGCGTGTCACGAGAGTTGGAGAGGCAAGACCCCCGCCCAGGTCCTGTGCGTCAGGTCCCTTCTATCCCGCAGAACCACCGAGTGGAAATGGAGACCACTGGCCAAGGCTGGGCCTCAGCTCTCGGGACAAGAACCCCGGCGCCTGCCGTGCTGGGCTGCTCCCTTCCTCTTCTCTGTCTTCAAGTGTCTCTTCCCCACCCCTCGGCTGCTCAGAGCCAGCTCGGGTGGGAGGCTTCAAGGCAGGGTCATGGCCCTGTCCACCGGGGCCGCCTCAGCTGGACGGGAGGGCTGGCCAGGCAGAGAGGCTCAGGGGATCTGTGCACCACTGTCGCTGTAGCCGGCAGTGCCTGGACCCTCTGGGGAAAGGTTCCGACAGGCTTCTGATATGGCTAGCTGTGTCTCCAGGCCATTCTCCCTGCCTCTGGAGTCACAGAACCTGGCCACTAAGCATGGCCATGTGACTAAGTAATGGCCAGAGAGTGAGGCAGACATGCACACAGCATGCGGGATTTCCCAGAAGTGCCCCTACAGCCCCAGCACCTGAATTGAACAGTGTGCTCCACCACTGAGCTCTACTCCTGGCCCTTTGACATTGTATTTTGAGAGAGGTTCTTCCTAAGTTGCTGAGGCTGGCCTCAAGCTTGCAATCCTCCTGCCTCAGCCTTCTGAGTTGCTGGGGTTACAGGTGTGCACCAAGGCACCTGGCAAGGCTTGTTAACAGGGAAGGAGGTACTTCCTCCTCCATTCTGCTTCTTGGAACACGGATATGATGGCTGGGAATCCAGCAGCCATCCTGAACCATGAGTGTGAATCACCTATTAGGGATGGCAGAGCATCAAGCAGGAAGATCGGGTCCCTGAAGCGCTTGTGTAGCCCCTGACTACCCACACACGCAGGCTCCTTGTCCCTGAGAGGGAGATGGACTTTTCTTTCAGATGTAGTTGGACCTCATCGAACTGATACAGGTGCGGGGAAGCTTTGTTAGTGTAGGGGTGTGAGCTGAGTCTCCTGGCCCGAGAGCATCTGGAGGGGCAAGCTGCTCTCCATCTGCTGGGGAATCTGCTCCGGGTCAGGTGAGGTGGAGAGGAGGAGACCTCCAGGGGTCAGGGAGACGGGAGGTGGTCCTCCACATGGACTCCCAAATCTTTAGGAAATCCTCAACGCGTTCCTATATCGTGCAAGTGAATTTTTATTCCTTTCTTTTTCTGAATTCACTTGAGGCCCCGCTGTGCAGGGGCAACGACCGGAGAACAGCAGGGACGGCAGAGGTCAGAGGGTGGGAAGGGCCCGGAGCCAAAGGTCTCCTGAATCTGCAAAACAGCAGGGAGCGACCTCTGCGGCCAGCCTGGTGTCTGTGCCCCTGGCACACTGCGATTGCTCTGCGGATTCTGGTGCGTGACCAAAGTGTGACTCAAGAAGACACTTCTGCCCCTCAGAAGCTGTGAAAACGGCTGCAGGCTCACTCCAGTGACCCCGTTCCACACAGCTCTGACCGCCCCACGGCCAGTCCTCCGGCTTACCTGCTCCAGGAAGATCCGGCTGCTGGTGCTTCCAAGCCAACTCCAGCACCAGAGAGAGAAGCCCCAGAGCCCAGCGCAGCACTGAGAGGGGGCAGCCTGCGATACCGGGTGGGGCCTCCAGCTGGACGTTCACCCTGCGGCTCAGCCTGGGCTTCCCGGGGCCCGGGCCTGGGGAACACGCCAGGCGGGACCTCAGGACAGAGCCCCCACCTGCAGGATTTCTGTCCCCTGAGGCCCTAGACGCCGCTGCCTGGCTGGGGCAGGAGTCACATCCCAGGAAGGCACCGCCATGCGGCGGCTTTTCAAACGTCATGGGACGAAGAAGGGACCTCTGCAGCTGGCACAGCCTGGCCAGGGAGGGGCGTCCCTTCCTTCCTGACATCTCTGTGGGGGACACTGCTCTTGAGAGACACAGACCTGGCAGCACCATGGGAACGGGGACCCTCCCAGGTGAGGAGGGCCAGAGGCAGTAAGCTCGCAGGCATCCCCAGGGGTCACCTGCTTCGACAGAGACCTGGACACTGAGAAGCAGGCCTCAGGGTGACCACAGTGTCCCGGCATCCGAGAGCAGCTGGACATCTAGATCTCTGTGTAAAGCCTCCTGATGTCCTCGGGCCTCTGTTTGGAGAGTGCGGAGGAAGCAGGGCCTTTGCGTGCCAGGCGGGTGCTCCACCCCTGACCTGTCAGGCTGGCGGTGGGGGCCCGGGTGAGGCCGACAGCCTCTCCTGTCCGCCTGGGCACCTGCGCACACCTGGGCTGAGCGGCTCTGACCTCCAGGGGCCAGGGTGCCACGCTCTGGGGCGGCCACGCCTGACCGCCGAGGTGGGCCCCTCCTAGGGAAGGGCTCTCAGATCTGGGGGAGAGCTCTAGCCCCCACAAAGCCAACCGTTATCTAATAGTCCAGGTTGAAGAGCACAGAATGGATCCTGCTGAGAGCTGACCCCGGGGAAGCAACCCGGTGCCTCAGAGGGAGCGAGGTCCCCGGCTGCCTGCTGCTACAGACTCCGCCGAGCCCGCGGCTCAGGTTTCTGGCGACGCAGCGTTCACATTTTCTCACCACCCCTCGCGGTGCTGGGAAGCAGCGAGAAATCAATGGGCCCCGTGACCTCGGCACAGACCGACGACGGCTGCTCCCCCACACTGGCTCCTTCCTGGGCTCTGCCCTTTCCCCTCCCACGGCAGCCTGCCAGGTCCCCGGGTGAGACCAGGGGCTGAGACTGTGACAGAGTCTGGGACTGCAGCCTACTGGCTGCTCTGGACAGATGCCACTTACAAGATCTGGGGCCAGGCCCGGCTTTGTCATTCCCATCTGACCCAGAGGCAGCTCCGGAGCCCACCCGCTGGCGGATGAAGCCACGGGTGGGGAGGGGAGCCACTGGGAAGGGCCGCCTCAGGAAGATGCCACCACCAACTGTTCAGAGAGCGCGTGCTG